GGGCTCCCAGGCTGCCTCTCGCGCCTCTGTAGTCCTACCAGGATCGATTCAGTGTCTCTGGTTATATGGTCCTCGCAAGCTGCTTTTCTGTTGCCTTTCTCCAACAATTTGTCTTTATTTTAGTTGTACTTCTAGTTTGGTCCTGGGAGATGGTCTGTGTAGCTTCCATTCACTCTGCCGCCATTTTGGAATCCCTCATCCTGCATTTAGCACCATGGGCTTTCAGTCTCACTCCAAGTGACTGGCAACCACCCACCATCACAGTTCTGTTTCTTCTTTTTAATGTAGGCATTTTATAGCTATGTTACTCTCTAAGCACTACTTTAGCTGCATTTCATAGTTGTGGTACGTTGTATCTTCATTTTCTTTCACCTCAGTGTTTTCTAATTTTTCTTTTGTGCAGCTACCTGTTCATTGCATGAATATATTTTTATACTACCTCTTGAGAAATGAACATTTTATACTACTTAAATACTTAGTGTGAGGAAAAGTTTGCTCCTTTGTAATGTAGCCCACTGACTTTCAAACATCTCAATGTATCCAGTAGTTCCCTATAAAACTCTACATGTTGCCCTGGCTGGTGTGCCTCAGCAGTTGGAGTGTCAGCCCCCTGACCAGAGAGTCCTGGGTTCAGTTCCCGCTAAAGGCATGTACCTCTGTTGAAGTTTGTCCCAAGCCCCGGTTGGGGTCATGGGGGTGGCGACCACTTGATGTGTCTCTCTCACATCGATGTTTCTCTGTCCCTCTCCCTCCCTCTCTCCCACCCCCTCTGTCCGAAGATAAACTCAAAAAAAAAAAAAAAAAAGAAAGAAAGAAAGAAACTCTACATGTTGGCTCTGGCCTGTTTGGCTTAGCAGTTAGAGCGTCGGCCTGTGAACCAATGAGTCTCAGGTTCTATTCCAATGGCACGTACCTCATGTTGCCGTATGTCCCCAGCCCTGGTGGGGGTCCTACGGGAGGCAGCCAGTCGATGTGGCTCTATCACATTGATGTGTCCCTCTCATGTCAATGTTTCTCTGTCTCACACTCATTCCCTCTCCCTCCCTCCCACTCTCTCTGAAGAAAAATGGAAAAATATCCTTGGTTGAGGTTTAAAAAAAAGAAACACAGACTTCCTAATTAAATTAAAAACAAAACAAAACTCTACATGTTGTTCTAGGTTATTTCTTTAGAAGTTGCTCCCAAATTAGTTTAATTCTTCTTCCATGGGATAGTTCTCTAAATATATAAACATTATTTTCTTCTCTCTAAATCTTTGTTTCAGTCGAATTTTACCCCATGCTATAAACTGTTCCTTAAATTTAAGGCATTATTAACTTGTCCTTTATAATCTTTTTACCCCTTTTTTTAAAATTAGTATTTCTTTTTCAAATTTGATGTCTTAAACTATACATGAATACTCTAAAACAGGCCCTAGCCGATTTGGCTCAACGGTTAGAGCATCGGCCTGTGGTCCAGAGAGACCTGAGTTAGGTTCCTGCTAAGGACACATACCTCAGTTGCAGTTTGTCCCCGGCCCTGATTGGGTCATGCAGGTGGCAACCGCTCGATGTGTCCCTTTCACATCAATGTTTTTCTCTCTCTCTCTCTCTCTCTCTCTCTCTCTTCCTTGCTCTCCCTTCCACTCTATCTGAACGAAAAATGGAGAAAGTGTCTTCGGGTGAGGATAAAAAATAAACAACTCTAAAACAGGAGTCAACAACCTGCTTATAAAGGGCCAGATACAAATATTTTAGATTTTGAGAACCATTCAATGTTTGTCACAACTACTAAACTCTGCCATTGTAATGTGAGACTGCCATAGATAATATAAATTATAAGCATGACTATGTTCCAAAAAAACTATTTTTACGAAAACAGGTATCCGAAAAACTATTTTTACGAAAACAGATTTTGCCCATACATCGTGATTTGCTGAGTCCTGCTCTGATGTTATCTAACCAGTGCCAGAACCAAGTGATTGTATCTTCACTTGTGAATACTATTGCATTAATGTATTTTGAAGATTATTTTAAAATATTCTGAGGGGAAGTTGGATATTGTGCTCCTCTGTCGGTAAGTTTTTTCCCCTCTGGCTTCTTTCAAGATTTTTTTCTTCATCTTTGATTTTTCTGAAGTTTAAATGTGATATGCCTAGGTGTAATTTTGTGGTTTGTTGTCTGACCTTAATTTGGAGAATTTCTTAGTCATTATTGCTTCAAACATTGCTTCTGTTCCTTGTTTTCCTTCTGGTATTCCCATTATGTGTATGTTATACCTTTTGTAGTTGTTTTCATAGTTCTTAGATATTTTGTTCTGTTATTTTCCATCTTTTTTCACTATGCTTTTCATTTTTAGAAGTTTCTATTGACTGTCCTTACTCTCAGAGATTTTTCCTTCAGCCATGTCCATTCAACTAATGAATCCATCAAAGGCATTCTTCATTTCTTTTGCAATGTTTTTGATCTCTAAAATTTTTTAAGAATTATTTCTTAGACTTTCCATCTCTCTGCTTACAATATCAGAGAAAGATTGCCAATATTTAATGTGAGAACCTGGTAGAGCTTCTGCAACTAAAACTCACAAAAATGTGGGACGTCCGTGTGTCCCGCCCCCCCCGGTGACTGGGTTCTTCTGGAATTTTTAATTCTCAGAATTGTCCACACTGAGCCTCCAGCAATTTGAGAATTGTGGTTCAGGTTTTCCTATTCCAGTACAGGTTCCCATGGAGGTTTCTGCTCTTTTAAGTTATGATTATCTTTCTCTATGTCTTTCTAATCTGGGGGACAGGGGTTTGCCCTGTGACCTCATTTTTCTGATGGATTTCATTCAATAAACATGAGATATCTCTCAATTTGATTAGGTCATCTTTGATTTCCTTTATCAATGTTTTGTAGCTTTTGCATATAGATCTTACACATCATTTTAAAGATTTAGACCCAGGTAGTTCATATTTTTGGGTGCTATCATAAATGTATTTTATTTATTTATTTATCATTTTTAATACTCACCCGAGGATATTTTTCTGTTTATCATCAGATAGAGTCGAAGGGAAGGGGAGAGAAAGAGGAAAAAAAAAACATCGATGTGAGAGAGACTTATTGACTGGTTGCCTCCTGCATGACCCTGACCAGGGCCGGGGATGAACCACAATCGAGGTGTGTGCCCTTGACCATAATCCAACCCGCGACATATTGGTCCACGGGCCAGCGCTCTAATAACTGCCAAGCCAAACCAACCAGGGCAAATGTATTATTTTGAAATTACAATTTCTAATTTTTTCTAATATATAAAAGTATGATTAATTTTTGTGTGTTGACTTGCAAACTGCAACCTTGCTATACTCACTTATTCTAGCAGTTTTTTTGTAATTTTTAGGATTTTCTATGTAATCATATTGTCTGTAAATATATTAAATTTTTTTTAGTTTTTTTCTTTTCAAAGGAAAGAGTGTTGACAGCAAATCTCCTTGCCTTGTTCTGATCTTGGGTGTAGAAGGGGAATGGGGTTTTAAGCATTCAGTATTTTATCATTAAGTGTTAGCTGAAGGATTTTTCTAAATATCCTTTATCAAATTGAAGAAGTGTCCCCTGTTCCTAGTTATCTGAGTTTTTAAAAAATTTTTTATCATGATGATTGTTGAGTTTTGTCAGGTGTTATTTTTGTGTCTATTAAGGTAGCCATAAGCTTTTTCTTTGTTTGTTGATATGGTGAATTGTATTGATTAATTTTTGAATGTTGAATTAGCCTTGCATTCCTAAAATAAACCTAACTTAGTTATGATCTGTTATCATTTTATGTATTGTTTGATTTGCTTTTTTTTTTTTTTTTTTTTTTGAGGATTTCAGCATCTATGTTTATGAGGGATACTAGTCTGTAGTTTTCTTTTACTATATTTTTATGTGTTTTGAGTGCAGTCTTCATTAAATGTGTTAGGAAGTGTTTCTTATTTGTCTACATTTCTGAAAATTTCTTATAGAATTTGTATTATTTCTTCTGTAAATGTCAGCCTGTGGGTTTCTGTGTTGCAAGGTTTTTAACTACATAGTCAATTTTCAAAGTAGATATAAGATTATGTCAGTTATTTTTCTTTAAGATAAACTTTGACAGTTTATATATTTCAAAGATTTTGACAATTTTAGGACATAGAGTTAATTTTATTTTTGTATTATTAGTTCAGTGTCTATAGGATCTATAGTAGTGTCTCGTTTTTCATTCCTGATATTTGTAACTTTTGTCTTTTTTTCCCTTAATCAGTTTAGCCAGAGATTTATCAATTTTTTTATCAACAATAGTTATTATAAATACTCGTTATGTATCATGTACCTTTTAAAGAGCTTGATTTATATTCTATTTGAATACTCTAGAATCTATAAAATATTTCCATTGTTATCATCTTTTATAGGTGGATAAACTTAGGTCTCGATATATTTTGAGACTCACCTACTATATGGTAGCCAGAATGACAAATCCAGGATTCAAATCCAAGTTTAGGTGATTCCAAGGCTTTGCTTTTGACCACTCTGCTTTATTGACTGGTATAAAGGATGAGTTAGAATCAGATAGGACATATGGAGGGACTCTTCTGTGAGTGGGAGCAAACATTTCATATTCATATTCATCACTGGACTGTAATGTCCACTGTTCTCTGTCTTTGGACCCTTCTCTATAAATGATACATAATACAAAATCTCTTATTGTAAGATCTCTGGAGATCTTTTTGCTCCTTCCAAAAGTTTAGACCACTCAGTGAGGGTACCTACCAAAGAGAGAGAAATTCAAGACTTCTGGTTGCCACAAAATACTCAATAATGTCTATTAGATTTTCAGAACAGGATATTCTGAGACCTAGTAACAACCTGAAATAGTTGTCCTCATGACATCCATTCTTGGTAGAGTACAAATAAAAGCCTTGACTCTATGCCCTTTCCTGCCCTTTAAAATGGAAGTATTTATTTCCCTTCATAGGTATACGATATAGTTTTAAAAATTAAGTCTGACAAAACATGTTTGTTCCTTAGGTCTGACGGTAACTGCTGTAAAAGACTCAGGAGAATGGAATTTGGAGGCTGGGGCATTAGTGCTTGCAGATGCCGGTCTTTGCTGTATCGATGAGTTTAATAGCCTCAAAGAGCATGATAGAACCAGTATCCATGAAGCAATGGAGCAACAGACCATAAGTGTTGCTAAGGCTGGGTAAGAGTTTCTTTGCTTTAAAATCTATTCGAAGCGTGAGATTAGTTTATATATGATTATAGAAAAATGTGAATCGTATTGAACTGTAAGGTATGTTTGGTCTTCTGAGGGACTGTCAGTTATCACCCCTCAAGACACATATTAAGTTTCCCATGGAGGTGAGCTAGGGAAGTAAACATGAGTTGCTGGAAAAAAGAAAGGGAAAACTAAAGTGTAAATGTAAGTTGATTTATTTCATGGAGAGGATTTATGAAGAGTTTTCAATGCAGGCTTCAACCTGTTTTCTCATTCAATTAATTGTGCGTCTACTCTGGGTGTATTATGTTAGGAATTTTGAAAGATTCAAAAAGACAAAACATAATGTCTGCTTTCAGTGATGTTCTCCTTGTATGTCTTTTCCCCCCTAACATATCTTAATGGAAAGTTGATCACAGCATGTGGAAAACTAAATAATAGCATATATTAGCATAAGATGAAGTGCCTGTTGTGACTCAAGGAGGCTCAGGGGTTGAGGTATGTGAATCCTTCGCTACACATGACCAGTGAGAGAGAAAAATAGGCAGGCTCAAGTAGAATTCCAGGCCCTGAGGTGGTTATGGTAAACTTATTTGGCTGCAAAGGCTGAACCCCAAGCAGGCTGCCAGGTCATCCAAGCAAAGAACAGAGGCAGGACTGTCTTAGCCCTAATGCTACTATTATAGGTGTGAGGCCAGCTGGATCAGGCAGATGGGGCTGCCAGCAGTCTTCAATCAGCAGTGGTTATGTGGGAGCCAGGCAGACACTGGTGTGTTATAGATTATATGAGATCTATTTATATACACTCACAGAAAAAGAAAGAGGGAAGCGAGGTAAAGGCAGGCTATAGCCCAGAGGAAAAAGATACAAGAAAAACTAGGCAGAACTATTATCAGATCTAATCATTTTCTTCAATATATATTCACTCAATATGTATTCATCAAGAGCCTGCTATATGCCAGGAAATGTGCTAGACACTGAGAAGTACAAAGATGAATACAACACTGTCCTTGAAGTGTTTACTGTTTTGTTGGGAAAGAGAGACACAAAACCATAAAAGTGATAAGTCCATAATAAAAGTGTTATGAGAGAACATATCTTGGAATAATTAATGCTTTAAAACTACTTACCAGGGGAAATCAGCGATAATAGTTTACTAGTATCTTCAAGGCTATTTTCTGTTCTCATTATGTCTTCATTAAATTAGTACCTTTGCTAGTTGGTAAAATCTGTGGTTTATTTTGATATACTTTTCCCAGATAAAATCTATCTGGGACATTATGAAAGATTCCTAAATAACACTGGCATCAGGGAAAATGGGGACAAATGCTATGAGTGTATTATAGGAAGAGGGAACATTGGCAGTGCTATATGATAGGCTGCAGAATAAATCTTTTTAATTAAAAATATTTTATTAACCACTCCTACTGCCTTTACCTTCTACAAGTGGGAATTAGTATGACTCCTCTGTGCTATTGTAAGTATGTCATAAATTCCAAAAGAAATGTTCTTGTAGATAAACAGTTCACTGATGACACCCACTTATGGAACAGTCTTGTCATAACGAGAACTACTTTATGCACTGGAACAATGATTTTCACACTGTTTATAGTGAAGGACTAGTTCTAATGTTTTTTTCAGTTCATCACACTAATATTTTTATAAAATACAGTAAATTATTTTTAAAATGAAATAAAAAAGCAAAGACGTATAAAATATAAGCCTAAATTCTCCATCTACTTAGGGTGGAGAAAGCAGTAAGAACATGTTTTTTATTTTTAATTTTTTTATTTTATTGATTCTAGAGAGAGACGAAGGGAGAGAGAGATAGAAATATCCATGAGAGGGAACATCGATTGGCCACCTCCTGCGTGACCCCCACTGGGGATCGGGCCCACGACCTGGCCATGTGCCCTGACTGGGAATTGAACTGGCGACCTCTTGGTGCATAGGTAGACACTCAACCACAGAGCCACACTGGCCAGGCAGAACATGTTAACCCATTCTAACAAGACAGATCCAGCTAGCCCACAAAAGTCATAGCTTGTCTTTAACTTATTAGAGAGCTGAGTTTATAAGGAGATTAAGGGAACATAATTCCAAAGTGTGACAGGCCCCTCCAAGGAGAGATGAGGCACACAGACTGTCACCTTTGACAGCTTATGAGAGGAAGAGGTGGCTTCCATAGAAGCAAATAAGGATAAATAACTAAAATGTACTTTAAATTCCTACAAGTATAGGCTAGCATATCAGTTTAGAATAACTGGGAGCTCCAAACTCAGAGGTATTTCTCATTTTCAAGCCCTTCTCCACAGGTTTCCACCAGATGCTCACAAGAAAAATTGGGCAGGGCAGAAGACCAGAGACACAGAGCTCTCCCCTGGCCCCTCCTCAGGGGAATAAGCATGAAACCCTGCTGCTTCCCCAGAGCTTCTGGGGGAAAGTTAGAAGCAAAAGCCATCTTCCCTTGAGGGAAGGGCAGAAAACGCTCTTGGTTCCTAATTTCTTAATAATACAAAGCAGAGGCCTGTACCATTGGGAAAGGGACAAAAGACCCCTCCTGCCCAAGAACGACTGCAAATGCATGGCGGGGTTCAGCTGCCACAGTAGGGACGGAAAGGCTTAAAACTCTCCAGCCTATTCCTTTTAAGAACAGGCACACAGTCCTGGCCGGTTTGGCTCAGCAGTTGGAGTGTCGGCCTGCAGACCAGAAAGTTCCAGGTTTGGTTCCCGCTAGGGGCATGTACCGGGGAAAAAAAAAAAATTGTATACACATACACACACACACACACACACACACACACGTATGTATGTATGTATGTATGTAAAAAAAGAACAGGCACACAGACCTTGCCTAAGACCAGGAGACCAGGAATACTCTGGCCCCAAAATAAGCCTAACCCTGAGTAGCAAGGAACAGTCTACTGCTGGAGAAAGTACATGAGTGTGGAAAGAGACGCCTCTTTGGTGCTGGTATGCAGTGTCTGCTGAAAGCTGAAGGTGAGCAGAAACACTGAGAATAATCTTGCAGCACTTCACTACAATTCCATACTAAGCACAAGGTAATGACAGCTCAACCTGAAAGAATTTGCAGTCTGGTGCACTGAAAGTAAAGATGATAACAGTGCCAATGCCCAGATCAGTAATCATAGCCTTATACTATATACGAAGTGGTTTAAAATTATTTGAAGGTAGATGTAAACTCTAGAACCACCACTATAAAATAAAAGAAGCATAACCAATAAGCCAGTTGTAGAGATAAAATGGAGTCATAACAAGTAAACCAAAAGAAGGCAGGAAAAACAGACAAAGAGAACAATGAATAGATTGGACAAATAGAACACAGGTAGCAAAAGGATAGGTTCAAATTCAGCTATATCAGTAACTATATTAATAGTAAATCATTTAAACAAAAGGCAGAGATTATCAGATTGGATAAAAAGCAAGACCAAACTAAATTCTGCGCTCAAGAAATTGACTTTAAATTCTAACACATAGGTAAGTTAAAAGTAAAAGAATGGGGCCCTGGCCAGTTTGGCTCAGCGGTTAGAGCGTCGGCCTGTGGTCTGGAGAGACCCGGGTTCGGTTCCCGCTAAGGGCATGTACCTCAGGTGCAGTTTTTCCCTGGTCCGGGTTGGTCATGTGGATGGCAGCCACTCGATGTGTCTCTTTCACATCGATGTTTCTCTCTCTCTCTCTCTCTCTCTCTCTCTCTTCCTCTTTCTCCCTCCCACTCTATTTGTACAAAAAATGGAAAAATGTCCTTGGGTGAGGATAAAAAAAAAAGTAAAAGAATGGGGAAAAGTATTTCACGGAAACCAAAACACCTGACCGAGACATTATAGGAAAATAAAACTATAGACCAATATTCCCGATGAGTATAGATGCAAAAATTATCTGTCCTTTAGTAAACAAAATCCAGCATTATATAAAAAGGATGAATTATACATTATAACTAAGGGGGACTTATGTCAGGAATGCAAAATTGCTGTGACATTGAAATCAATCATTGTAATTCACAATAGGAAAGAATAAGAAAGAAAAACCTATCACCCCAATAAATGCCGAAAAAGTGCAGTTTGACAGAATTGTACTTAATTGGAAAAAATTAAATACCCACTCATTGATAAAAAAAATTCTCTGCAAACCAGAAGAGAAATCCTCTATCTGTTTAAATGCTTATAAGAAATATTTCATACTTAATGGTGAAAGATTGAATGTTTTCCACTAAAGATTGGAAAGTCAAGGATGTCCAGTCTTTCTCCTTCTGGTCAGTATTGTAATGCAAGTCCTAATCAGTTAGTAAGGCATAAAAAAAGGAGAAAAAGGAGGGAGGGAGAAAATACATCAAATTGGAAAGAAGTTAAAATAGTTTATATTTTATATGACATGATCATCTACGTAGAAAATGAGGAAGAATAAAAAAGACACTAGGATTCAAGGTCAATTTATAAAAATTTATTGTATTTCTATATGCTAGCAATGAACAATTGTAAACTGAAGGAAAATACACTACTTTATGTAATACCAGGCAAAAACATGAAATGTTTAGGGGATAAATCTACCAAAATACATTATAGATTTTTACAGTAAAAACTGTAGACCATTGATGACAAAGTAAAGAGGACCTAATAAATGGAGAGATAGACTGAGTTTCAATGATCAGAAGACTTAAAATTGTTAAGATATACATTCTCCCCAAAGTAATCTGTAGAATCCATGCAATTTCAACTAAAATCCCAACAAGCTTTTTTTGAAGAAAAAACTGACTATAAATAGGAGTAGCAAAATAAAGTTCAAATCCCTCCCGCTCTATCTGATGATAAATGCAAAAACAAACACACACAAAAAATGTTGAGTTTTATTTTATTTTTACCCAAGGACATTTTTGCATTCATCTTCAGATAGAGCGAGAGGGAGAGAAGGAGAAAGAAAGAGAGAGAGAGAGACATCGATGTGAGAAAGACACATCGACTGGCTGCCAC